TGGTGGGGATTTCTCACTTTCTGTCTCTCTCCATCTCTCCAGCAAGCGCAAATGCCCTTTGGAAAAAAAAGTCGCTAAAGAAAAAAAAGAGAGAGAGAGGTTAAGGAATTCGTTCAGATCACACACAAGCATCTGCTAAGTTGGGAAGCTATCTCCTTTCGGGATTTTAGTCATGCACTCACACCCAGAGTGTTTTCCAAGCCGTGTTTTTGAGCTGCAGGTTGGGCCATGTGGGATCCAGCCTCCTCAACTCACATGCCACGGGCGGACCCTAGTCACAGATTTTTTTCATTTCCTATCATTTTTTTAAAAGAATTATTTATTGGAGTTGGCAAGTGGTATGGTGGTTAAGGGCACTGGGCTCCCACTTGGCCGACTGTGGTTCGAGTCCTGGACCTGGCAGCTTGGCTTCCTTTCCCATTCCCCCCACCCCCGTCTCTCTGGTCAAATTAAAATAAATAAAATAAAGTTGAATAAAATAATTCTTTTTTAAAAAAAATTACTATTATTGTTCTTTAATTTGACCAGAGAGAGAGAGGGAAAGTGAAAGCAAGCCACCAGATCCAGGACTCAAACCACTGTTGGCCATGTGGGAGTCTGATACCTTAACCACCTCGTCACCTGACAGTCCCACTTTCCTCTTCCCCACCTTTAACAAGCTATAATAATAGCAAGCACTTAATCATCTAATAGCACACATTTCATACATGCCTGGCCGCATTTTAAGAGCTTTACATATATTAGTTGACTCAGTCCTAAGACATCCCTGTGAGATACATCATCCCTAAGCCAGGACAGTTGGCCACACTGTACTCTAGAACCACTGGGGCCGTTCATAAGTTGTGATGCCTGGGACCAGCAGATGGCATAATGATTACACCGCTGGACTCCCATGTAGTCAGCCATGGTTCAGATTCTGGACCCAGCGGCTTAAAACTCATGCCAGGGACCAGCAGATGGCAGAATGAATATGTCACTGGACCATGGTTCAAGTCCTGGACCCGGTGGCTTAAAACTCATGCCAAGCTTGTGTACGTACGTGTCCAAGATCCTGAGAAGAGAATAGAGGAGAAGGGATTGTGGCATGACCATTCCCCCTTATCGGGTGATTTCTCGCTTTCTGTCTCTCTGGTGATCGTGCACGCCCTATAGCAAAAATCTCTTTTAAAAATATGATGCCTTAGGCAGCTCCCCATCCTCCAAACTGCAGTAATTTTATCATACATGGGAGCAGACGTTGCATTTCAAAAGGCTCCCCAGAGCTTTATTCGTAATAGCCCCAAACTGAAACACCCCAAATATCCATGAATAAGTGAATGAATGAATAGAAACTTTGTGGTACATTCACACATGGGATCCTATCCACAACAAAAATGAGGAAACTAAAATACTGACACATGTAATAACAAGCTTGAATCTCAGAAAATAATTTTTGGGGCCAGCAGATGGCATGGTGGTTAAGGCACTGGGTTTCCACATGGTTGACCATAGTTCAAGTCCCAGACCTGGCAACTTGCTTTCTCACTTTCTCTCTCTCTGTTTCTCTCTGATGGACACATGTCCCCTATATCAAATTAAACAACAATAATAATAAATTAAATTATTTTATTGTATTTTATTTTGTGCTATAGGACCCATGCATTCACCAGAGAGACAGAGCAAGAAATCACCCCAGGGGGAATGGCCTCACCACAATCTCTTCTCCTCCATTCTCCTCTCGGGATTTTGGGCATGTGTGCACAAGTGCCCCATGTGAGTTTTTAAGCCACTGGGTCCAGAACTTGAACCATGGTTGACTACATGGGAGTCCAGTGACGTAACCATTATGCCATCTGCTGGTCCC